CCTTTAAATCAGAGCTAGATAAGATTTTAACAACTCTGAGCTATTAGTTAAGTTCTCCCCAAGCGAGCTTGATGGGCCGAATGGCCTCCTCTCGTTTGTATAGTTCTTATCTTCTTATGTTCTTATGAATCCTAAAAAGTTCCAGTTCTGATCGAATTTTCCCCATAGGAAATAATGGAAAACCAATTAATTGGTTCCCGGCCCCCCCAAATTACACCTAAATATGTTTTTTTAGCATTTAAACACAAAATGAACTGGATAAAACAAGAAGAGCATATACTGTACTAAACACATCTAAGCACATTTATCAAAACAGTAATTTGTAAAGTAAGAAAATAAATGTATCCAAACAAAAAAAATTATATAATATGTCCTGCCCCGATCGTCCGCTCCTTCCGTGTGCCACGCCCCCTCGTTAACCCCGTGTGGAATCCCCGTGTGATCAGCTGTTTCTGTTTGTTGTCATTAATCCTCTGTATTTAGTCCGCGTTTCAGTTTGTTTCCCCAGTCCGGTTATTGTATTGTCCCTCTGCGTTTTGCCTGCTTTGCATGTAATTAAACCCCATATTCCCCGATACCCTGACATCTGCGCCTTTGTCTTCATTCCGTCCCCGATCGGCCAGACAATATTATTATAATTGAATGTATTTAATTTTAATAATAATTATAATAATAATTATTAATATTAAAATAATTAATAAGAAATAAGAACATAAGAACATAAGAACATAAGAAATTTACAAACGATATAATAAAATAAACAAATCTTTATTTTTAAATGTATTTTATTATATAATAATACCTACTGTTACTGTCTATTATTGTCTAAAAGTATTTTTACTGTCTAAATATATGTATTCAGCTATAGTGTAAACATGCACGATGCTATCACAGCAAATGCCAGGCTGAGACTGAAGCGTTACCCTTTGTTTCCGCTGAGAGACGTGCCGCGTGACTCATTTCCCCGCGCGTACAAATTATCTTAGGTCGTTGTTCACGGTTCAGGTACGTCAGTTCTAGGTAATTTTTTTTCGAACTGGTTAAGAAATTTGAGTTCTAATGAGTTTGAGAACTGAGGTACCACTGTATTTGCGTATGAAGGAAAAGTGAGGATAAAATCCATCTTATGACTTCTTATCTGGTACAGGAGTATAGCAAGCCTGGAGCTTATCCCAGGAAGTACAGGGCTATACCTGGGACAGGATGCCAGTCCAATGCATGGCACTCACACAATGGACAATTTACCATATACACCAGTTCACCTAAACACTTGTTTTTGGACTGTGGGATGAAACCCAGTTGCCCAAAGCAAACTGACCAGCAAACTGTTCCAAACACATCCACGCTGAGCAGGGATGTGTTTTTAACCTCCAAATCAGGAAGTCTGGCATTGCTTCCTCTCCCTTGTGCCCTGTGCTTCTTGTGATCGGTCCTCCCACAGATATGATGGATACATTACATGGAGGTAGCAGGATGGAATGGATATTTTCATATTTTGATATGCTAATTAAATTAACAGCACCCTATTCCCTAGTCTTACTTAAAATAACTACAGAGCACATTTCTTTTTAAGAGCTGTGTTTTAAGAATACAGTGGAACAGTAACCAATAGATCAACAATAGATTAGCTTCTGCACAAGGCAAACATTGAAAATCAGAACTGGTGTCAGCGCTTTAGAAGGTCTGCAACTAGTTTCAAGACATCAGCAAGGTCCAGGTAGAATGAATGAATGACTTTCCAGATTAGTTACCATGTTTTATACTATGTTTATTTTACTTAGTGTGCAATGAAATCATTCGGACAGCCACAGGCACGAGATCTGGTGAACCTGATGACACTGATACAAGTCACACAACATCGGGCTTTTAAGAAAGATTTTTTGGATAGGTTGGGGGGGGGAGTGTATAGAGGGCTAAAGATGGTAGAGTTTAGGGGTGTGGGGGGATTAAACGGGGGGGGGGAAGGGGGAGTGGGTGACGGGGCCATCTGGGGGAATACAATTTTTTCATTCTGACAGCATTCAGTTTGTTATTCTTATTATTTTGATGTGTTCTTATTGTCCTCCTTGCCTCTTTTTGTAGCTTTCCCATTTAAAATGGAGATTATGTAAGATCACTACTACATGCATACACATATCTGCACTTTATCAGTGCTGAATGCTTATGTCATTTTTCCACTGTCCTGCCAAGCAAAAATTAAACCAAGCAAGGATGATGAAGGCTGAATCTGGTCGGATTTATTTCTTTTTCCATTGCAATCAGAAATTCTGATTAGGATTTTGACGATAATGGTCATGATGTACTGCTGCTCAAAATATGCTGCAGTGCAGCTTATATTGACCAAATCAGATTATCAAATCATAATCCATGAAAATATACAGAAGCCAGCCATATTTAGATATACTAACTAAATGAACGGCAACTTATTCCCTAGGCTTACCTAAATTACTGTAACTACAAAGCAAATTTCTTTTTAACAGCTGTAGACAGAAAAAAATCCGTTTTGGACTGAGAAAAGGTAAAGTGATTAGCTGTCATTGTTGACACACCACAGCACAACAACAGAATGTGTCCTCTGCATTTAACCCACATGTTACATAGCAGGGGGCAGCTAAGTCAGTGCCCAGGGAAAGTACCTTTCTCAGGGTACCTCCATGGTGATTTGAACCAGCAATCCATACAATTACAAGGGCACCTCCTTACCCATTAGGAATCCAAGGCCCCGGTGTAATTTATGCTTAAAGAAATGACTGGACTTATGCAATGAACAATATGCATGATATATTGCATAATTCTGTAAACCAAAAAAATTTGTAGTACAGTAAGACCTCGGAATACGTTCCGGAACCCGTTGCGAATGAGGATGATTCGCCGATGTTTGGTAGAGTCACTAAAAATGGTAATATGTGCTTTTTCCTATAGTTTTAACCCTAAATATGCTCCCAAAACATTTTAATTTAATTTAAAATTTAGCTTAATACATTACTTTTAAAAACCAACCCTTTCAGTGTTTATAGCAAATGCGTCTCGAGATGGAAACGTAAACATTAGCACCTTTCAAGAAATGTATCATTTTTGTTTGTTGAATTTACGTTAACGTGTACTTACTATTACAAAATAGTAATTATTTTCTAATATTTGAGTAACCATTAGCGTTCCTGTCACGTATTGCCAGGGCATGGACCGGGGAGGCAGGGACAGCTAGGACGCAAGGAATCAGGGAACACGGGCCCGGTTTAATCAAAAGGTAAAGACAAGCAGGACAATGGAACAGGCAGCAAACTGACCGGACTCGGGAAACATACTTAAACGCAGACTTAAATACACAGGACTAATGACAGCAACTCGAAACAGCGCTGATCACACGGGTATTCCACACGAGGTAGATGAGGGAGCGTGGCACACGGGAGGATCGGACGAGCAGGTCATGACAGTTCCAAAGGGAATAAGCTTTGCGAATGGGATTGGCATTGTAAAGGTACAGTACAGTATGTACATAAAAAGGAACGTTTCCATAAGAAAGCCACGTTTTTTAAGAGATTTTTAACTGATTTATATTGTCTTGAACTTTCCCCAAAACACAGTAGAATCTTCATTAACTAAAATGTTACCAATTTTACACTTAAAATCATGAAAACTTATAAATTACTATGAAAATGAAACATAAACACTTCTGTAGGGTTTTTTTGTGCAAAAAAATCGCGGATGCAAATAAGTTCAGTGAAATTTTCGTGGATCTGTGAATTCACGAATCACGAAGCGCGAATGCACGAGGGCTTACTGTACTCTATAAAGATAAGGAAATAGCAGAAATACTTTATTGATCCCGGAATGAAGTTCTCTTCGATACATCAGCGAGATACATAAAGTGCACACATCCAACGTATAGCTCAAAACAAATTGAAAGTGCACAGTCTACTGCACAGTACACTCCATAAATTTAGGCTTTTGCCTTACTTTGTATGGTTTCTTTTGTCATGGTCCCTGGAATGGTGCAGTGGAAGATCCCTGCATGGATCAAAATGGTGGCTGTGCCCAGCTCTGCAGCAGTGAAGAAGGTCATACGCGCTGCAGCTGCCATTTGGGCTACAGTCTGGCTGCCGATAGTAAAAGCTGCATGGGTATGTTCCTACAGACAAAACCGCAGCATAAAAACCCTGAGAATAAAACCCTCAGAAAGATCACCTCAGCTCATATCACTTAATGCATAGCAATGAAATGTATCCACCCCATTGCTACCTTGACTACATACCACAGCCATTCCTTCTATGTCTGTGTTCTCTCAGTGTTGGGTGTATCTACCCATGCTTAGCTGCTGTTATAATCGTCTTCTGTTACAGATATTGATGAGTGCAGCTCAGGACAGGCAAAATGTAGCCATCGCTGCATCAATACCCTCGGGTCATTCAAATGTATGTGCAGCCCTGGGTTTGAGCTGGGAATCAACGGGAAGCACTGCTACCGTGAGTATGGCATTTACATAAACTCTCAGATAAATATTTGGGTAGGTAGTGCTCTCCTTATTTTTTACTCAACACCTTTTCAGGAATTGAGATGGAGATTGTTAACAGCTGTCAGAAGAACAACGGAGGCTGCTCTGATACCTGCCAACACACTGCTAAGGGACCCATCTGCTCCTGCAGTCAAGATTACCAACTAGCTGATGATAATAAAACCTGTGTAGGTTAGTATTTCCTATTTCATACCTTCAAACGTATAGGCAGAGATGGTCGACATGAGTTCTATGACTTGGCCCAGGTCGGACTCAACTATCAGACTTGAGACTTGCTTTCAAATTTGTGAATAAGGCTCGACTTGACTTAAACTTGGATATTGTTGACATGAGACTTGAATTAAAATTATTATAAATGACTTGTAAAATTCTATCTAACATCCTATCATTATAATTAATAGTCTCCACCTTGATGTTTCTCCTGTCATCACTGACTCCACAAGAACATAAGAAATTTACAAACGAGAGGAAGCCATTTGGCCCATCAAGCTAACAAACGGCAGAAACCACGAAATGCCTGCAAGACGTGCAACACAAGTGATTAGTTAGTGAATGCAGTTCAGTGCATTAGCATGAAGTAATCACAGCAGCATCGATATCAAAAACAATAAAATTTGATTACAAAGTTTTCCGCTGATGACAGAAGTAAAAAAAAAAAAGGACAGCAGTCTTCAAAACATGGGAATAAATATCAGACACGCTAACAAGAACTTCAAATTTCATTCTACATTTCAAGGCCCATAAAAACAGGTTGATAAACCAGAAATAACTTATCCAAATGAACATTTCCTTTAATGTTAAGAGGCCCAGTGCTCTTATTGGCGTTATGTTACAGACGACATTGCTTTTCTGAAGATGTAAGTTGTTGAACACAGTTAAATGCACTGGCAAATATGCTCATTTCATAATAAAAAGATGTAATATTTATGGGCATTCTTTAATCACTATTAAATGTATTAAATAATAATAACTAAATCGATCACTATTACATTTATTATAGTTACTCATGGTGAAATTGCCTAAGGATTAATCATGACTTGACATGACTTTGACCAAGTCTCTGACTTGACTGATAGTTAGGACTTGTGACTTGTGACTTTTACATATGTCAGTGTTTCTCAAAACAGTTCTCAGGGACCTCCAGATGGTCCACGTTTTTTGCTCCCTCCAAACTCCCGGGGAATTAGCAGAGAGCAAAATCATGGACCATCATGGGATTTCCGTGGACTGGTTTGGGAAACACTGGCATATGTGATTTTACAGTAATAACAATAATAATCGATACTTTATTGATCCCCATGGGGAAATTGTCTTTATGCCTCCTTCAACTTGCTCTTTGTAGAGTAAGCTGTCTGTGTAGAGCTGCCACCCATAGTGGCGCCCAGGGAGTTGGGGGTTAAGGGCCTTGCTCAAGGACCCACAGGCATGCTGAGGTTGGGTTTGAACCGGCGACCGTGTGATTACAGGCACACAGGCTTAGCCCACTGAACCACACACTGCCCCAAAAGAACTGACAGTACCCAGGATTCAAACCCACACCCCTGAGGAGACTGGAGCCTTAACCCAGCACCTTAGACCACTCAGCCACGCTATCACGCCATTTTGTTCCCTGTCTGTGCATAGGCATCATTTATCCTGTCCTATGTGTGACACAGCCTATATGACAGTGACATTCTGGTTCCTGCCTGTCTCCATAGACTTTGATGAGTGTGAAACTGGCAAAGCCTGTTGCAGTCATTTCTGCAAGAACTACCCTGGGGGCTATGAATGCCACTGCGAGGCCGGCGACAGACTGCATACTGATGGGTGTAACTGTGAGGGTAAGGGGAACCGTCTTTTTAAAACTAAAAGCATGTCTTATATTTATTTGGAGGGGTGCCTTGCTTTTCCTGTTAGGGGCGCCATTTGCCAGAGGTGTAAAGTAACGAAGTACAAATACTTTGTTACTGTGCTTAAGTAGATTTATTTTCCTTATTTGTACTTTAATGAAATATTTTAAGTTGTTGCAAATTTTACTTTCACTTCACTACATTTCTGAGCTAAATAAAGACTATTTACTCCAATTCATTCTGTTCTGTTACCCAATAAAAAAAAAATATGCACGTGACGTAGGACAGGAAGATATGAATCATGATTTTGTTCATGATTCTTGAGTAATATATTTCTATCATTATTATTTTGCATTACATGTTGCCTTTATGAAGATGGAACAAACAATATATAGAGATGCTCAATATATTGGAGCTGTGGTGAATCCATCCTTACATAGTTTGTTGGTGTCCATCCATTTTCTGAAACTGCTTAATCCCTACTGGGGTCACCAGGAACTAACCCTGGACAGTCACCAACACACCACAGGGCACATTTAGACACACCAATCAACCTTAACACTGCACCACCTTAGTTTGTTGGTATGCAACTACTATTTGTAAATAAATTATTACTGAATTAAAATAAAAGGCAAATTCATTAAAACCTACTTGATAAGTAAATATGTAAACGGTAACTAAATGACCACAAAGCATTATTTTTATTCATTAAAAAATATTGGAGAATAAATCTGGAATGGGAGATGTTAACCTGCTGAAAAAAATCAGACCAGCATGACCAGCATAATGTGTGCTGATTATACCAGCATATGTTATGTTTTGGTGCTGGTGGACCAGCATCGTTAATGAAATATTGCTGGTGGACAAGCTTCATGTGCAGGTAGACCAGCACAGCTATGCTGGTCCACTAGCTATACCAGCAGGAAACCAGCACTAACATTCAGTGAAAAACACAATGTGCAATATTAAATTATAGTATTTGCACATTAAAAATAAAGAACTATCTAAATAAACCACAGAAATGTCTTGGGGGGCTAAGGGTGCTATGCCCCTATGATTCCCAAGCCCCTCCCTAGCCCCTCCCTGGCCCCTCCCCTGATATAAACACATTATTCATTTTACATAAGATGTTAACCCTAACCCTTATCTGCTCTCTCTTCTCATCTTCGAAACTGGATAAATAAACAGATAGATAGACAGATAGATACACTCATACATACATATATACATTCAAGATTCAAGAGATTCAAGATTCTTTATTTGTCACATACATAGTTATAACAAGTGCAACATGTAGTGAAATGAACTACATGTTGAAGACGATGCTTTAGAAAGTCACAGGGTGGATCTGCAGTCTACATTCATGCTGAATCTGGAGAGCTGGGGCCATGGTCCCACCTGCCCAGGATAAACTCACTCACCTATTTCATTGCAGCTCAGCAGAAGAGTGAATTTGATGAGAGTGACGATGAGGATGCAGATGTGCGCCAGCTGCCAGGCCTGCTATTTCGGCAGCTTCCAGAGCTCCTACACTATGATGCAGACTCAGCTTATGAAGCCTATGAAGATGAAGAGGAGAGTGGGGATGACGTCTGGGCGGAGCTCACTCTCATTAGCAGGACCGGTAACAGCAGGGAGACACTCCACATTCTGGGCTCATTAATGTGCCCTTCAGCCTATGGAGATCAGGATGATCTCACACAGGAAAAGTGTGTCAGATGGGCATATGTGTTTCTCATTATCCATTTCAGTGTGTCTGGATGGCACTTTTGGGGATGACTGCAGTCTCAGTTGTGAAAACTGTGAAAATGGGGCAATATGTGCTAAGGAGAACAATAAATGCGACTGCCTTCCGGGATGGACTGGAATCACCTGTAATGAGAGTGAGTGCATAACTGGGTTTAAAAATTCCAACCAGTTCTCATGGTAGGTGTTTTGGCACAGGCTATCTGTTGGAAAGGCCAGTGGTTTGCCTTTGTCCCTTGAATTTGCATATTTTACATTATCAGCATGACTAATCATATACACTGCTCAAAAAAATTAAAGGAACACTTTGAAAACACATCAGATCTCAATGGGAAAAACAATCATGCTGGATATCTATACTGATATGGACTGGGTAATATTGTAGGAATGAAAGGATGCCGCAGTGTTTGATGGAAATGAAAATTAGCAACCTTCAGAGGGCTGAATTCAAAGACACCCAAATATCAAAGTGAACAAAATGATGCGGCAGGCTAATCCGTTTTGCCGAAATTTCATTGCAACAACTCAAAATCATACTCAGTAGGCCCCCACGTGCTTGCATGCATGCCTTACAACGTCGGGGCATCCTCCTAATGAGACGACGGATGGTGTCCTTGGGGATCTCTTACCAGATCTGGACCAGGGCATCACTGGATCCTGGATAGCCCGAGGTTCAACCTGGCAGCATCGGATGGACCAAAACACAATGTCCCAGAGCTATTTTATTGGATTTAGGTCAGGTGAGTGTGGAGGCCAGTCAATGGTATCAATTTCTTCATCCTCCAGGAACTGCCTGCATACTCTCGCCACATGAGGCCGGGCATTGTCGTGCACTAGGAGGAACCCAAGACCTACTGCACCAGTGCAGGGTATGACAATGGGTTCAAGGATTTCATCCCGATACTTAATGGCAGTCAAGGTACTGTTGTCTTGCCTGTAGAGGTCTGTGTGTCCCTCCATGGATATGCCTCTCCAGACCATCGCTGACCCACCCCTAAATTGGTCATGCTGAACAATGTTACAGGCAACATAATGTTCTCCATGGCTTCTCCAGACCCTTTCACGTCTGTCACATGTGCTCAGGGTGAACCAGCTGTCATCTGTGAAAACCACAGGGCGCCAGTGGCAGACCTGCCAATTCTGGTATTCTGCTCATGGGTTAAGGACCTTCTATGGCCCTATTCAACTCTCCTAGAGTAACTGCCTATCTCCTGGAATCTCTTCCATGTCCTTGAGACTGTGCTGAGAGACACAGTAAACCTTCTAGCACTGACATGTATTGATGCACCATCCTGCAGGAGTTGGACTACCTGTGCAACCTCTGTAGGGTCCAGGTGTCGCCTCATACTGATGGTAGTGATACTGACCATAGCCAAATGCAAAACTAGTGGAAAAACAGTCAGAAAAGATGAGGGGGGAAAAATGTCAGTGGCCTCCACTTGTTAAACCACTCCTGTTTTGGGGGTCGTCTCATTGTTGCCCTTCTAGTGTACCTGTTGTTAATTTCATTAACACCAAAGCAGCTGAAACTGATAAACAACCCCCACTGCTACTTCACTGACCAGATCAATATACTCTGATTAAAAATGTTCCTTTCATTTTTTGAGCAGTGTATAAAGAACAAATGAGAAACATGTAGGGGAACAAATGTTCTCTTCCTGTGAAGGTGTCCAAAGCCTAGAATAGCAACAGCACTTGGAAGCTGATCTGCCATTCGGAAAGGAAAGCCTTCAGTTTAACACTGACATATTAATGAACATGTTGTGACACTTTACATTAAGTGTGCCTTCATAATGCATTTATAATGCATACATAGACTATTCATAAGCAGTATGTAAGTATATGAAGGTGCACTTAATGTAGAATGTCACCCATAAGTCTTATTGTAAACCTTTTTTGATTTAACAAATATCAAAATTAATCTAAGAAAATTATTTCATAAACCTTAATGTTGTGAATTTTAGCTATAAGTATTCTACTTTATAAAGTGTAAGTAGATTCATCAGGGTATGGCTTAAGAACTTGAAGAGGATACTCCTTGCGTTGTAGCTGTGTGCATATTTTGGGGGTCACATTCTGTTCTGTATTTGCTCCTCAGCGTGTCCACAGGGAACTTTTGGACCAGCTTGTCAAAGTATCTGCCAGTGTCAGAATGGTGGATCCTGTGATCCAGTAACTGGGACGTGCCACTGTCCCCCTGGGGTGGAGGGGGAATTTTGTGAAGATGGTGAGAGTATCGCCCTATAAATGATGCTTAGAAAGCTGAAATTAGGTCACTCTCCTCTAGTGCTCATAATTGTACTCATTTACCTTTTTGTTTATCTGATATCTCCTTAGCAGAAATACTTCATTTTGTGTAACTTTTTACTTTCTAAGAATGATTGTTTACATAGACATGCTTCAGGTAGAAAACCAAAGACCAACCAAACTTCTGTGGTTTTTATTGCTGACAGGTTGCCAAAAGGGGTATTTTGGGAAAAACTGTCAAAGCCGGTGTAACTGCCCCAGGAATGTGCATTGTCACCGCTTGTATGGGACTTGCTTGTGTGCCCCAGGGCTGTATGGGCGCTTCTGTCATCTAGGTGAATGTCACAAAAGTTTTTCCCCAACTAATAGGCCTTTAAGAGTATGTAATCAACACCATTCCTGCAGTGGTTCAAGTTGAGTCCCTCAAAGTATTACAGCTATAGAATTATACCATTTATCAGTAGTACTATCATACTATCAGTAGACAGTACCATTAGTACAGCTAAAATGAGTCAGTATAAGGAAGTCTGAGTAATTTTTACTATTTGAATTATTTCAACTCACAATCTAATCTACTATGGAATGATAAACTCTAGGTTAGTGTGTTACCTGTGATTTTAGCCAATGAAGTCTTGCCCTGTTCACTGTTCTCTTTATGTACTTTCTTTAGCATGTCCAAGCTGGACATACGGAGCAGGATGCTCTAAGGAGTGTGCCTGTGTGCTGGAGACGTCCTCAGGGTGCAGAGCTAACAATGGCTCATGTGTGTGCAAGCCAGGCTACCAAGGAACTGCATGTCAGTCAGGTACGCTGCAGCTGAGCTGGCAGCAGCGAGGGCATGGGCAGTCATGGGCCTGGCGTCGGGGTGGTCATCATGTCCATGTCTCTTATCCAGAGTGTGACCCTGGCTTTTATGGAGATGGCTGCAGAGAGCAGTGTGACTGTCCTGCTGGGGTTAGGTGTGACCACAAGAGTGGCCAGTGTGTCCAGAATTGTCCAGCGGGATTTCATGGGGAGAGGTGTCAACTGGGTGAGTAGGCCTTCCACAAACGGAAAGTAAATGTTATCACCATGTGCTTCATGTGATGTGTTTCTGTCATCCTTGTAATCAAAGTCCTAGCTTCTTGTCTTAATAAGCATGTATCTTCACTTTCATTGCTTTCTTTTGTGCATGCTCATTTTGCATAGCTTCAGGATTCTGTTCTCAAAAGGGCTGAATATATTTGCTGGCACACATTTTATAAGATTTAACTGTAACTTTTATTACCACAAAGAACACTTCAAATAATGTTCATGTCTGTTCTGTATAGTATTTTGCTTGAAACTAAAGAACAGTCATGGCATATTTCCAGTTATCAGACTCATCTTAGATAACTTCTGAATGCACTGTGGTGCCCAATGCACAGAATACCCACACTGCTCTCTGACTACGCCACCTCCCGATAAGGGCAGGAGAAAACCCTAATGTTCCTTCCTGTAATGTGGCTAAGTCTGAACCCTCCCCGCAAAGGGACAATAACAAAGAGGCTAATGAAAGTAAAACCCAATCCACTTACAAATAACTAAAATCAATTAGACAAATAAAAAGAAAAAAAATGCTGCTGGGGTGGCCGGCTGACTCTCCTCCAGATAGTAAGGTCAGATCGGCACGCACAGCTCTCAGCTCAGGAGGCCCCTGGCGACAAAGAAAACAGCAAAGCCCAACACCACACAGCATGCAACACAACCAGCACTACACACAACAGACAAATACCACTACAATATACAACTCAACGTGAGACTTCAGACACGCAATTATACAGTGGCCCACTCAGTGTGGTGCCCCAGCAGCGAAGAGCAAAAGCCTGTGCGGATCCGACCTTGTACAGAAAGATCTCATGTACAAACATAAGGGGAGGGGAGCAACCGGTATCCACCACCCAAGGTACAATACTAAGTTACTATCTTACAACTTAGCCTATAGCAGCAACCAGGGCAACTAATAAAAGAAAAACAAACCAAAAACCCTATCAAATAACCATAAAACAGTGGCTGGTTTGGTCCTTTGCTGGAATGCTTAATGCCCTCGCAGCACAGTAACACCAAGAGGAAGCGTTCCAATGCAGAGCCTCGATGTCTGTAGCCCAGCAGCTCATAGTGGATCACGTCAAATGATAAAATTCCAAACAGTCACCTCTGTCCTCCATGAAGAGTTACACGCTGCTAGCAATCACCTCCATGTCCAGTCGTAAAACACAACAGCAAGAGAATGAGATTCCACCTTGGCAGCCTTTTATAACTTCCTGGTGTATCATATGACCTGGCTTGTGAGGTTACCAATATGGTGTAATTACCAGTGCCATGTGACTACTCCCACCAGCCCGTTCAGATCCCCACAGTACTTTTAAAATGTATTATTGCAGTATATTTTTTGGCAGCTTGAGGTGATGGACAATTTGGGGTGACTGTCAATAGGAATGTGACTGTGGGGATGCTCCTTGCAAAGCACAGGCAGGCAGGTGTTTCTGTCACTCAGGAAGTCTGGTTTAGTGAGAGAATTCTCATCATATCAGGCATTTTTCTGTTTCATTGTGTTTCATTTTTATGTTGTTGCTGCAATGTGTATCTTTGCAGCATTGCTACAGTAGGTGCAACAGAACCAGCCTCATTCTAGGGTAAAACAGTGAAATCTGTGTGTTTGAGGGTCCAGCTCTACCTTTGTATGTGAACGTGGGACTTCAAGGTGGCTCAGTGGGTACTACTTTTTCCTCACACCTCAAAAGTTGGGGGTTTGAGCCCCTCTGGTCTGTAACACTTGCATGTCCTCCTCGTGTTATGTGGCTTTCCCCTGTGAACTCTGGGTACCTTCAGTACAACAGCCTATATATGTGCTGGTGTGAAAGAAAAATCACTTCTGGTGAGGAAATGGTTGAATCAGGTATCTTTTATTAATTACTCAATTTTACTGGACAAAGAAGTGAGGACAATAAATACAAAAGTACAAAGGACCAGGGGTCAGGATGTGTGTCATTTGATCAGCTGGCTAGGAGGGGTGAAGGAAATTACTCTTTCAATATACATTTGGTTTATGTAGTCCCTGTAATTAACACATTTATTGTTTGTGCATATTTAAGTAAGGAATAATTGACGACGGGCCGTTGAATTATTAGAAAAATAATGCACACCCGAGGTGGTGATGTGGCCACGACGCGAAGCGGAGTGTGCATTATTTTTCTAATAATTCAACGGTCCGGAGTCAATTATTCCGCTTATACTACGGTTGCCACACCTCAAGACATCGATCAGATGATATATTTCAAGGGATTCGTCCGGTT